CAAATCTTATTACACAACTCCTAAACATCTCTAAAATCTTTTTTTCGTAATTTTTTGTTCATCATGGCTACAAATACCGACTTTTTTTAAATTTGATTTTTGGCTAGGTGAAAAAACCGAATCAATTTAATCCGATCCAGATCAATTTTTTATCGGATTTTGTGCATGTCTACTCACAAGTGACCACGGAACTCAACGTATGTGCTGTTTCTGACTCAGTGAGCACATGGGATGGGCATCCCCAACAAACTTACAACCGCGTTCCTCAATCCCTGCCCAGAATCTCTTAAATTGCCCGCTTAGTTGTTTTTCCCCTTCACACTTTTTCGACAAAAGAACAGATTAACAAAACAAAAAAAAGTGTCTTCAGCGTGTTTTGCATGTGATTCGATCTTTTATCAGTCGTATAGGCAAGATTTCTTGAGTGAAATGGGAACGTTTCAATTTTCTTGTAGAACTTGGGCTTCACTAGTTTGCCCAGACATAAGCTCTTGATCGGACAACGAAGCTCAGTTTAAGTGAAACTGGATACGATGTCGTTCCTGTTGAACTGCTCAAACTTGCTACACTTTCGTACAAAGGAACCTTGTTTCCCATTACCGTTACAGTCGCAGACATTTGGCTCTTCCTATATTGATAAAATCTCTTTATCTGAAACACCCAGATTCAATAAATATTAATCCAAATGACATAATCAACATTTTAATATAGTGCAAATGTTGTGTGTTTTTGGAACTTGACTTACGGTTCCTGAAGCGATGTTGATTTGAGAATATGAGAGATCAAGAGGAGTTGTGGTGACATGGACGCGAAAAAACGTTCCAGTGTTTCGATAAATCATTTTCACTGTAGAGTTCATGGTGATCGTATCTGTTGCCACCCCCGTGGAATCCGGACCAGCTTGGATCTTGAATTGCTCAAATTTTATGCTCTGAAAGATGAAATAAAGGAAATCAATCATGACCCAGCTCGTAATTCATTCTAAAAAGTTCACTAAAAACGAAAGAGAACCGGCAGATTACCTTCATGGTAATCTTGGCTTCTGGGGTTTGCTAGCTCCCCAGAGAATCAAAGAGAACATTGAGAACAAAATGAAGAAGCCAAGAACAAAGGCTAAAAAGTAGCAACGCCGAGGAAGTCCCTTCTCACGCTCTCCATCATCAAGGAGACCTTCTTCTTCAATCACATCACTTTCTTTCCACTGCTTATGTCCCTTCCTATGTGCTCACCTGAACGACCCGTCGTTAGGCAAGACCTTGCGGGATCCGGGTTTAAGCGACCCTGAAAACCAACTCCACGACGACTCGCGCGAGTGGCGATCCACGGAGGAATGTGAGTGCGGTGGTGAGCCCATGGGGCTGAGTACCAGCGTTGAATGGAACGAGGTCGTGATCTTTTCTCCATCGTGTGAATCACGGGAAGGGCTCTATACATAGTAAACTGGACGACGCGGTGACCTCGTTGGCGATGATGGGGCGAGACTGGTTACCTCCGAGTCAGTTTATATAGTAGGGGTTGTTTACTACAAATTGGAGGTATGTTTTATTGTTTGGGTTTTGATGATTTATTTGAGAATAAATTGTGTGTGTGTGTGTGTGTGTGTGTGTGGCGATGATGGGGCGAGGCTGGTTACCTCCGAGTCAGTTTATATAGTAGGGGTTGTTTACTACAAATTGGAGGTATGTTTTATTGTTTGGGTTTTGATGATTTATTTGAGAATAACTTGTGTGTGTGTGTGTGTACGTGCGTGCGTGCGTGCGTGCGTGCGTGCGTGTGTGTGTGTGTGTGTGTGTGTGAGAGAGAAAGAGATGGATGCTAAACCATCATCTCAAGGGCGGGGAGGGCATCTAAAGTTAAAGCATGTTGTCATGGACTTAATCGCTCAATAAGCCTCGTACGGCCTTAGCTCCTTTTCGCCCCTTGCGATAGCTAAGTCAGCCTCACTCGAACTCGTGCTAGTGAAAGGATTGGCAAGGAAACAAAAAAGAAATGAAAGAACTTAGAGAGAAAGCTTGTTGAATGCTTGAATGCTTACAACTCTTGGATGATTTACAAATGAGGATTCTACACCTATTTATAGCATCTCACCTCCTCAATGGACTGTGGAGATTGATTTGATCCTACGGTAGGGAGAGATTCTCTAGAATTCTCCATTATTTCCTACCTAACATGGAAGACTCTAGAATGCTTCTAGAATATGTACAAGTCTTGAGTATTCTAGAATAATCTACACTATTCTATCAACCTCTAAGACCAAATGTGGCCCAACATAGCCCAAAGTGTGGGAAAAAGCCCAAGTTCATGACATTCTCCCCCACCTATTCTGGCGTCGTCCTCGTCGTCTCGTACGCTTTAAGATGTTCTTCGAACTGCCATAAGTCTTCAGCTAGTTCCCATGTTGCCTCGGACTCTGGTAGTCCTTTCCACTTGATTAAATACTCGGTACGCGGTGGGACTCCTCTCTTGTGGACCGTCCTGCTTGTGAGCACCGTTTCCACCTCTTTGTCATAAGACTTGGCTACTATGGGAGGTGCTCGATGCGAATGCCCTCAGCTTGGGTCTTCCTTGTCCGTATGATATGGCTTGAGCATACTTACATGGAAGACCGGATGAATCTTAAGTGTACTTGGCAAGTCTAAGCGATAAGACACTTTACCCACCTTGGCAAGTACTTGGAACGGTCCCTTGTATCTACGTATTAGTCCTTTGTGAACGCTTCGAAGAGATTTGAACTGTTGTGGTAAAAGATTCACAAGGACTAAGTCTCCAATGGAGAACTCTCGATGTCGCCTCTTCTCGTCCTCCCATTTCTTCATCTTCTTTCGGGCTTTCTCCAAACATGCGCGGGCGATGTCGACGTTCTCCTCCCATGACTTAACCATCTTGGCGGCCCCGGGACTCTTACCCTCGTCAAGTGGCATTGTCAGTGTGTTCGGCGTGAGCGGTTGTTGTCCGGTCGCAAGCTCAAACGGACTCCGGCCTGTGGCTTCACTCCGCTGTAAGTTATAAGAGAATTGGGCAACGTCTAGCAATTTAGCCCAATCTCGCTGGTTAGCACTCACAAAGTGCCGCAAGTAACACTCCAACAAAGCGTTCACCCGTTCGGTCTGCCTATCAGTTTGAGGATGAAAGCTTGTGGAGAAATTTAACTCGGTTCCAAGGAGCTTGAACAATTCCGTCCATAGCCGTCCGGTGAATCGAGGGTTTCGATCACTAATGATGCTCCTTGGTAAGCCCCAATGCTTCACGACATTCTTGAAGAATGCTCGCGCGGCCTCCTCCGCAGTGCAATCCTTGGGGCATGGTATGAAAGTCCCATACTTAAAAAATCGGTCCACGACGACCATGATCGAACCGTATCCTTCGGACTTGGGTAATGAACTAATGAAATCCAAGGTGATCGCATCCCAAGGTCTTTGGGGGACTGGTAAAGGTTACAGTAATCTCGCCGGCTGTCGGTTCCCCACTTTGTCTTGTTGGCACACAAGACAAGTCTTCACGTAAAGTTCTACGCTATCCTTCATATGGGGCCAAAAGTATGCCGTCTCTAGCAATGCCATAGTGCGCTTTTGACCTGGATGACCAGCCCACTTGGTGTGGTGGCACTCTTTGATAAGATCTTGCCTTAAGTTGTCCCACTTTGGAACATAGATTCGCCGTTCCTTGTTGTAGAGTAGACCGTCCTCTACCCAAAACCGTTGGGTTTTGCCATCGCTAGCCAGCTTTACTAATTCTCTTGCCATTGAATCTTGCTCAAGGCCCTCCTTGATTCGTTCCAACACGGTTCCCTTGGCTAGAGAGATCGCGGCGAGTTCCGCCTTTCGACTTAAGGCATCGGCTACAATGTTGGCTTTGCCTGGCTTGTATTCCAACGTGTAGTCAAACTCGGCTAGGAATTCTTACCACCTAGCTTGTTTTGGTGATAGCTTCTTCTGGGTCTGAAAGTAACTCGTCGCCACGTTATCGGTCTTGATGGTGAAATGAGCGCCGAGTAAGTAATGTATCTATACCCGCAAGCAATGGATGATGGCCGTCATCTCCTTTTCTTGCACCGTGTACCGCCTCTCGGTGTCATTTAGCTTGCGACTCTCAAATGCTATCGGATGCCCCTCTTGCATTAATACTCCCCCGATAGCGAAGTCAGATGCATCGGTATGCACCTCGAACGGCATGGTAAAGTCGGGTAAGGCCAAGACAGGTTCTTGGCTAACTGCTGCCTTCAGGTTCTCAAAGGCCTTCTGACATTGTTCAGACCACTCCCACGTCTTCCCCTTCTTGAGTAGGTCCGTCAATGGTGATGCTCGCGCCGAGTAACCCTGTATAAACCGAAGATAATAATTTACTAGACCAATGAAGGACCTCATCTCACTTACCTTGGTCGACGACTCCCACTCGGTTATGGCTTTGATTTTGCTCTCGTCCATGAATAGCTTCCCGTGGCCGATTACATGTCCAAGGAAGTGTACTTCCTCGGTGGCAAACGTGCACTTTTCCTTCTTGACGTACAGCTCGTTTTCTCGAAGTATCTTGAACACAATCCTTAAGTGGTCTACATGTTCCCCAATAGAGTTACTGTATACCACGATATCGTCCAAGTACACCACCATGAACTGGTCCAAGTACGGTTGAAAGAGCTTGTTCATGAGCGTGCAAAACGTCGTTGGTGTATTGGTTAGGCCAAAGGGCATGACTAACAACTCGTACGATCTGTATTGGGTGATGCATGCGGTCTTTGGCTCGTCGCCTTCTGCTATTCGAACTTGGTAGTAGCCTTTTTGCAAGTCCATCTTTGTGTACACCTTGGCTCCTCCAAGTCTGTCAAATAAATCGGCAATCAAAGGGATCGGGTAGCGATTTTTAATGGTTACCTTGTTAAGTGCCCGGTAATCGACACACATGCGCAATGACCCATCGTGCTTCTTTTGGAAGAGTACCGGTGCGCCATACGGTGCCTTCGAAGGTCGAATCATTCCCATATCGACTAGCTCCTTGAGTTGCCTTCAAAGTTCCTCAAGTTCAGGTGGGGCCATTCGGTAGGGTGCCAAGGCTGGCGGCTTGGCACCAGGTTCCAACTCGATCTTGTGATCCACCTCACATCTTGGGGGAAGTTTATTTGGTAACTCGGGCGGCATCACGTCCTTGTTCTCCTCTAGGACTTCACGGATGATCAATGGTAGGTCATCCGTTTTCTCGATCTCGTCATCTTCCTTTAGCATGGCCAAGTAAGTAATGTCCCATTTCTTGATGCTTTTACCAAGTTGTATGGCCGAGAGTTGTGTGGCATCTCGACCTTGTTCTTTCGGTGCCTTGACCGTGGGGATCATGCAAGGAGACCCTTTCTCCAAGATGCAAACGGAACTAAAAGAAGGCATAGGGATAGCGGTTACCTGTCGGAGAAATTCCAACCCCAAAACGACCTTGAAGTCATCCATGGGAATGACAGAGAAGTTCACTTGGCCATTCCAAGTGCCTAAGCATAGCTCGACCCCTCGTGCCACGCCATGGAGTGGTACCGCTTGTGTGTTTACCGTCTTGAGCCATCCTGTGCTCCCAATGTACTTTAGGCCCAAACGGTTGGCTTCGTCTTTAGACACGAAATTGTGGGTAGCTCCCGTGTCCACCATGGCTCTTGTCGGCTTCTCGTTGATCACCGCTTCCACATACATGAGCCCATTACTCGGTGTTGGTGTCAATGGCTTGGCCTTCAAGGTGTTTAGAACTTGGAGTGACCCCATATCGGCTTGAGACTTTGTGTCTTGACGATCGACGATGGCAGACAATGAACCAAGTTTGGGACATCTACTCATCGGATACGGTCCTTTACACAAGAAGCATCCTCCTTTCGGAATGAAGGCCTTTTTCTTCTCTTCGTAGTCCCTTCGGCCCGGACGTCGATCACGATCTCCCTCTTTAGTTTGTGGCCTTCGGTGATCTCGGTCTCGGTTGCCTTGGTAATTCTCCCGCCGTTCTCCCCCACATTTGGCTGAATACTTATCTTTATTTTTCGTCGCATTGGTGTGGGAGTAGGGTTGGAAGTCGACGAGTGACTCGGCGATGGTAATGGCCTCATCAACCGTTTTAATGTCCTGACGATGCATCTCTTGCTTGGCCCATCCTTGTAGTCCGTCAATAAAATAGAACAAGAGATCATCCTCGGACATATTGGGAATTTGAAGCATAAGGGTTGTGAATTCTTTTACATAGTCCCGCATAGTACCCCGTTGCTTCAACTCCCGCAATCTCTTACGAGCCTCGTATACCATATTCTCGGGGTAGAAGTGCTTCTTGAGTTCTTTCTTGAACTCGTCCCACGTATCTACCCGACAAGCTCCTCGCTCAATGTCGGCATGTTTCCTACGCCACCATAACATAGCAGTATCAGAAAGATATAAAGCAGCGGTCTTTACCTTAGTCGCCTCGTCGTTAAGGCCGATTCCCTCGAAGTATTGCTCCATCCGCCATAGGTAGTTTTCGACTTCCTTGGCGTCCCTTGCCCCGTTGAACCCTTGCGGCTTGGGGCACTCGACCTTCGGGTTAGAGATGGTGATGTTAGCACTCCCGCTAACGGCGATTCTCTTGCAGAGCGTCACGTCCTCCCGCATCCCCTCGATGCTTTCACGTAAGGATTGGATCATATCCTCTAGCCTTATGAACCAAACTTCTACCTCATTGATAGTCTCTTCGGCACTCCCCTTGAGCGCGTCAACTTGCTCCAAGACATGGTCCTCCAGCGTCTTGAAGTCATGCTGGACCCTCTCCAGTCTCTCCCCGAATTCTGCCACCATCGGTTCTAGTGAGCTCCCCTCGCGGGCTTTACTCTGGTCCCTTTTTTTCTTTTGGTTGGTGGGTGCAGCTTCTCTCCCACGTTCCTCAGTAACAGTCGACTCGTTGGCGCTCTTCTTCGGGTTGGTGGATGCAGTTTCTTTCCCACGTCCCTCGGTAGCAGTCGACTCGTTCGAGTTCCCGGCCATTCCTACAAGACACGTGCACGATATTGATGCTTTAACCGGCTCTGATACCAACTGTCAGGGACTTAATCGCTCAATAAGCCTCGTGCGGCCTTAGCTCATTTTCGCCCCTTGCGATAGCTAAGTCAGCCTCACTCGAACTCGTGCTAGTGAAAGGATTGGCAAGGAAACAAAGAAGAAAGGAAAGAACTTAGAGAGAAAGCTTGTTGAATGCTTGAATGCTTACAACTCTTGGATGATTTACAAATGAGGATTCTACACCTATTTATAGCATCCCACCTCCTAAATGGACGGTGGAGATTGATTTGATCCTACGGTAGGGAGAGATTCTCTAGAATTCTCCATTATTTCCTACCTAACATGGAAGACTCTAGAATGCTTCTAGAATATGTACAAGTCTTGAGTGTTCTAGAATAATCTACACTATTCTATCAACCTCCAAGACCAAATGTGGCCCAACATAACCCAAAGTGTGGGAAAAAGCCCAAGTTCGTGACAATGTGCCCCCATGTGAGATGATACCCTGCTCTACGAATGTCTCAATACTTATGCCTTTTGTTTATTCCCACTTGTTTTGGTTTCTCATTTTTCATCTTCTTTTGTCGATAATATGATATTTTGTTAGGTTAGGTAGGTCGTTTGATACCTTCATTTATGCCAAAGAGCTATTGTGCATCCCTTCCTCGCCACCTTATTTTTCATTCCAATTATAAGGTCCGCATTTAGGGGCGAATGCAATGGCCTTGCTCCCTCCAAGCTGGAAAATTTGTCTTCTACTCCCTTCTAAAATATTGAACTTGTATATTAACGCACTAATAAAATTATAATTTGGTCCCAAAAATTAATAGTTCGATTTTGACCCTCATAACATTTTCTAGATCCGCAAGGAAATATTATATGGAGAAGCCGAAGGCTCTTTGTTTGAAGGCGTGATCCACTAGTTTTTTACGAGGATTTTTCTCTGGGCCGAATACTCAAAACCTCATGGACTCAGATTTATTGATATTAATCTTATTCTCATCATAGTTTATGACATTTACAGGCTAAGCCCATACTTGTTTCAAATAATCATGCCCAGGTAACAATTATTACCCCTAGATTACTGCTTTTAAGTTTAACCAACAGTTGAGATTTAATGAACTGGAGGGAAGAAAGGGACTAAATTCTTAAATATTTATGGAAAATTTTTAAGAATTCCAAATAAATAAAACTGGATTGCCAGGAATTTTGGGTGGCAAATCGCATACTGTTCATTAAAATATAAATATTTATTATACGCATAATATATGTATATGTTTAAAAATTATGAAAATTTTATCTATCCTTTTGAAGTTATATATATTTACATTTTTATAATTATATGGTGAAGACGGTGACCAGCAAAATTCATGCAGCTGTTTGAAACAAAAGAAACTTCCAATGACACTATTAGGCTTACACGTCTTCGTTAATAGCTATAAGGTAGAAAGAAAAGCCAAATTACAGAACCATAGGAAATAGGGACACAGACATTGATGAGCAGAAACATTCAGAATCATTTTTTCTTCCATCTTTCACATAGAAAAGTACATGCAACTGTTCGATGTTTACTATTGTTGATGAATCGGGAAAATAAAACAAAATAACACAAGAATTTTAACGAGGTTCGGCAATGTGTTTACGTCCTCGGTACCTAGATGGCGCTAGAAGTTTTATTCAATATCTCATAAGTTTCACTTCGCTCACTCCGCTCCATCCCATGTCCTCTTTACTGATATATTTATGAGTCATACCTATCAATTATTAATGGATTAAACAGTAACGCGTAATTAGTCTAATTGTATGAGAAAAATAAAAATACAAAGTACGTTTTACATTCAGAAACATGGGAACAGGAGATACTAATAAGCATTAGCAAGAAAATGAGATGATGACAGAAAAGCCAAACAAAAAATCAACACGTCTAATACAAGGTTGAAGGCTTGAAGCTAACATTGATGAGCAGAACTTTGGAGAAATCAATACGTAAAAGGAAACGGACATGGAGCCAAAATCAAGTTGGAATTAACGTTATGCAGTTCATGTCGTCTTTTGTTTCATTTCTGACGTATATATAACCGAGTGGGAACTGGGAGGGAATGAAGGGACAATCATTAAACGTAGATCTTCCTAGCCTAGTTATTAGCCAATGATATGCGAGACTAGAAAGCAGGGACGGATGTACATGGCTTCTTTGGGGAGCCATTAAACACTTATTATTTTGAGAAAAATGTTAAATTTAATTTAATTTGCTAATGGGAATAGAAAAAATAAGAAAATTTGTATATCCAATTTTTTTTAAAATAGGATATTAAAATTTTGAACCTATATCTTTTAATTTTTAGATCCGACATTACTAGAAAGATGAGTTTCTGCAATTACCATCATTTCATTCTATTTTTTTTACTGTTTCTGGTGCTTGGAGTCAACAATGCGCTGTCGGAACCTGAAGAACACAAGACGTACATAGTCCATATGGACCGTACAATAAAACCTTCATCTTTTCTGACCCATGAAACTTGGCACCGGACCATCCTACGATCGCTGTCAAAACCCGTTCATGACAAAGACAAGCTACTTTACTCTTGCAACCATGTGATGCATGGGTTCAGTGCAAGGCTGACACCATCTCAAGAATCGGAAATCAAGAAATCTCCGGCTCATATCGCCATGCACGAGGAGAAATCTGGCAAACTGTTCACCACACACTCCCCTCAGTTCATGGGGTTAGGGCATTCATCTGGATTGTGGAATGCGTCATCGTATGGTGAAGGTGTGATTATAGGAATGATTGATTCAGGAGTTTGGCCTGAGAGCGAAAGTTTCAATGAAAAAGGAATGCCAGCAGTTCCTACTAGATTGAAGGGCAAGTGTCAGAATAGTACAAATCGACCCTTTTCCTTGCAATAGAAAACTCATTGGCGCCCAAGTATTTATCAAAGAAAGTCAGGCTGCGGGTGAGTCAGACTCGCCAGATGATACGCCAAGAGACTATTTGGGACACGGAACACACACATCATCAACCGCCGCAGGTAACCATGTACCAGGTGCAAGTCAATTCGGATATGCTCAGGGTGTAGCCCGGGGGTTGGCACCAGGTGCACATGTTGCTACGTACAAAGTATCACCGGAGGATTGATAGTAGAAAGTAACGCTCTTGCTGCTACGGATCAAGCAATCGCAGATGGTGTTGACATCATGTCACTATCTCTGGGTTTTTATCAGATAGATTATTTCGAAGATGTCATAGCCATTGCTTCCCTTTCAGAGATAGAGAAGGGATTGCTGTTGTCTGCTCCGCTGGGAATGATGGAGCACCTAATACTACACACTATGCAGCACCGTGGATTACTACAGTTGGTGCAGGAACGCTTGATCAGAGTTTCACTGCAACGGTGACCTTAGGAAATAATCAAACATAGAAAATCACAGTTCCCAAACCGTGTTTTTGTTATACATACACCTTTGTACTATGGAAAAGGAGATTCTGACAAAGCAATATGCAGCACTGGAGCATTGAGTGAAAATGAAGTCTTTGGAAAGGTGGTCATATGTGATAACAACAGCGTTATTAGCGTTTTTGAGCAAGCGGAAGAGCTTTCAAGGAATGGTGCAGCTGCAGGAATACTTATCTCGGATTCGACCCCGGAGGGAACTGATGGACTCAGCACCCCAAGCCTCATTTTACCATCTTCTTCTGGTGCTTTGATAAAAAAATATGCTACGGAGGCAGCTGATAACGCAAGAGTAAAAATCATGAGATTCGTGCTCACAAGATTCAGCGCAAAGCCAGCACCACAAGTGGCCTACTTCTCTTCAAGATGACCAAACCTATTAGCCCAAACATTCTAAAGCCAGATATTATTGCTCCAGGGGTCGATATGTTGGCCGCAATCCCACCAATAATTACAGTGCAATATCTTGATAATTATCAATTGGCTTCAGATTACGCATTATATCCAGGCACATCAATGGCAGCACCCCATGTTGCTGGAGTGACAACTTTACTTAAAGCTGTTCACCCTGAATGGAGTCCAGCAGCTATTCGATCAGCCTTGATGACCACAGCGTATACCATTGACGACAATGGAACTATTTTGACAGACCAATCCACTAACCTTTCCGGAACACCTCTAGATTATGGGGCAGGTCATATCAATCCAAACAAAGCCATGAATCCCGGTCTCATCTACGACATAGATTGGCAAGGTTATGTTGATTTCTTATGTGGCCTAGGCTACAGTGACGCAGAGATGAAAGCTACTCTTAGACAAAGCCTATGGAATTGCAGCCAGGAGCATACCGACATAAACTACCGATCATTTGTTGCCATGTTTAACACAAGCTCTCCGAGTGTTAAGAACTTTACCAGAGTTTTGACCAATGTGAGAGATGACCAATCAGTTTACCACGCTGTTGTGGAAACAACCTATGGAATGACATTCACAATGGAGCCAAACACCCTAGCCTTTACAAAAAAAAAAATACCAAAGCAAAACTTTGTCGTGAGTATTCAGACGTAGAGTAAAGCTCCTCCGGTGACCTACGGTTATCTAAAGTGGATCGACCAAAATGACCACATAGTTGCGAGCCCTGTGGTGGTCCTAAACTACTAATCACATTCTTAACATAATTATTCATCAATAAATCATGTGATTGATTATCTTAATGTTCCCTGTAGAAAAGAGATTGTTTTCGGTTTCTTAATTTTATATGAGCAAGCAAATTTGAATTGGAATTTCGAAATCTCTTATTCATCACAGCAAAACTTATTGGCAGTAGAATCGTTTTGGAAATCTTAAGCAACAGGAATGTGTTTCTTCAAACCTATTTCTAACAACAATGTTGTTGGACCGGCTATAGCCTATATGTTATTTTTGCTACATGACCCCCGAAAAGAAGACCATAGACCCTGAAGACTACTGGAAAATTAAATCATCCATAAAGATCTTCCTGATTCACACTCTTCCTTCTGTGAAGCATTG